TTATTCTACTAGAAAGCTTACGCGCAGGGTTAAGTCCTACCCCGCCCTACTTCATAGTTTGTTAAGATGAACTGATCCAGTCTATATGCAGCCAAATAAAAGGCGACATGCGTTCAAATTGGGTTCTCATCTAATGTTATTATCTCTGCGCTTCACATTTCTTGCGTATTTTCGCCGGATGTGCGCCAATAAGAGAAACACTAAAATGTATGTTGCTGTATCATGTAGTGTTATACTAGTACGAATTGTTTCCTGTTACATGTTTTTCAGCATTTCACAACCATACGAATATATTAAGGTGTGGTGAAATCGGTGGTGGTTAGTATAATGGGAATTTGCACAATATACTCAATACCTGTTCCGGGCCTTCTTCTTCCGTTCTTCTTAAAGGATCTTTCAAACCCCATGCTACTAGTATTACCACGTCAAAGAGAAGTAGCATGCCAACAATGCCATATAGGGTATTGTCTTTTATAACCTACAAAGACAAAACAACACAAATATATAGTAAACGATACATACTACAACTCCACCGATGACAATATGCGTATATAGACGGTGCATTACTCGAATAGGTTAATCTATTTCGCGGGAAACTCAGATAGCTATCGTTGTATTATATTATCAGTACATGGTAATATCGCGCTGAGAATTTGTAAAAATACAAACAGGTGGTACACTTACCATATCATGTGTTATAGATACGATATATAATGAAATCGAATATTTGATAACAATCATTCGTGAACACACAGTGACTAGTTCATGCGCAAAATGTTATCCCTTAGCCATATCGGTTGATTGTTGTACTAAGTTTAATAAAATCATAGATGATATCTTATGCGTGATCCTGCAATATCAGATTTCGAGTTTAATAAATCTGATATTTGAGAGGAAAGATTTTTTATGCTGTGTATTACATGCATCCGTTCCGAGGTTAAAAACTAACGTGAAAATTGCAGTTTATGAGCGCGTATTCAAAAAAGCGTTCTGGCTCGTTTTCATAACTGATCGCCGTGCATGAACGTCCATAAAAGGTACGCCGGTGGCTTACTCAAAAAAAAATATAGTTATTTTTGGGATCATTTCTATATATTTACAGTATAAGGACGGAGTTCATTGGTGACATAATGACTGTTTTTTAATTAGCCAATTCAAGCCGTAGTAGTTTCAAAATCTGTGACATTCGAAATAATGTCTCACATAAATGAGGCTGTATATCACATAGGCGTTTTAGCCGACATCTGAAGCTGCCAGAAATATTTAAATTATTTTGAATGTTGATAATTCAAGAAATATTTTTTTCAGAAAACCACAAATATCTAGTCAGCCACGTTGTAACAAGTTCAATCTATTTGAATGATTATATACATGTTATTACACAGTATAACGTATACAAAATTGCCCCACAGTGTTATTACGCTGAACTGCAATAATATATGGGATACCTAGGTTTACCTTTTTTTTCATTTTGATGTTAGTGAATATACTGTAGACTCTCCATGTTTTGCTGAACATTGCTCCAAATGCAATTGTAAATCCCACTGCGAGCATCCAAGAGCGAACCTGTAAAATACAATGGAGTCGAATATCAACTATGCAATAAGAACTTTGCGACCGTTTAATATTTTACTTGATCGCAAACCAGCATAAGGTGTAAGCCTATTTCCATTGGCCAATGTGTTCTAACCATCACATGTGAAATATAATTCTAGCCTCATTGAATACAGTAGTTACTGATAATACACATGCATAACATAAATAGTACAAATTGAATATTGTTTCATTGAACATCTACAGGGAACCAGTGAATATACTGGTTCTAACGACAAACGACAAATGTTGAATTAGCAATCCAACATTTTGATTGATGGCAGTCGCCGCTAACATCCTCCGCCAGCGACAGTCTTGTTTTCCGAATTTCCCAATTCCAAAATCTCGCTGAGCCAATTGATTGAGACTAGTTATTCACAAGTAAGCCATCATAATGTGTGACGCCATTTGCAGTTCAATGAATTGACCACGGCACTGTTTTGTTTGAAAACAGCGAATGTCCCAATCCAAGGTGGATTATCATATCAAAAACACCCGCAACTATCATACAAACTAAATAATCTGACATGGTCTCTACTCGTCTTACAAAAAAAGGAATACTTACAGCTCTTGTTCAATTAAGCAGAACTATTTTTGAAGACCACAAGTTGATTAAGTGCACTCCTACTTAATAACATGTTGGTTAACTCACCGTGCATATATTTTCAAAGGTCCGATCGTTGATATTAATCCCGTCCAGCCCAAGTAAATAAATATAACTATAACATATGATACCACCAATAATAATCAAATTGTTTAAAAATGGACTTGACATCTTGATGTATCTGGAAAAAGTAAAGAAAAGTCGTAGTTGATGAAAAATTATTAAATATAATTAGGTATTGGGAACAAAGAGTTTATACACGACACAAAGTAATGTTTCGTAATTATTTTCTAGAGAATACCGTGACAATCACGCAATCAATAACAAACATTGTTTCCACAGCGCGAGGAATGCGTATATATTAACAACTAATAATTATGCCTTTAATTATCTGTTTCTCTAATCATACACGTGATATCGCAATATACCTTGAACGCAATAGCCGCCGAGATCTCGGGTAGTACAAGAGCCACGATACTAATTTTTGCCTCTCAAAAAAGTACAATTACCCCCATTTATAGCGTCAGATCTTCCACTGATCTATGTAACCATAGTATTGTTGGCAGAGAACGTCATGACAAAAGAGAATGAAACACCATTTGAGGCACAAAAACAAGTCTCGTGCTCTCTCACTTTTAACGAGATATTAGCGGCCAGTTGCGTGGAAGGTTCTTTTACCTGTGTTTTCTAAACTTCATGTTGAAAAATAAAAACATCAATGCTGTCATGATACCCAGGTAGCTGAAGGAACCCATAATTACATACAAGATGAAAGACACGCCATTTGTGAAAATGTTAACTATTGGTCGGTCAGCGGGCGGTGAGCCTCCTAGAAGTAAATGCAATGAGCACCTTGTCGTTTTAAATTACAATTACTAACCGTATCTATTTGTTCACCCACTTAATTCTAATATTTATGTCATTATCATTAAAGCTGCATTGTTGAAAACTGATTCAGGATATTTATATGAACCACATGAACGAATCTCGGTAAATAAAATAGTGAAACGTTAAATGCCGCTGGTGTCAATTTTTAAGAGGATATAAGGCTTACGCGTACATGAATAATAGACAGGATATATATATATCCATGTAATACGTAATCTTTTAGTTTTTTAAAATATTCATTACCTTTCCATTGAATATTATCCATTAAAATGAATGAATCGTCATGCGCGTAATATTCGCCGACTTTTTGCTCTCGTCCATCTGTGAATATAATCAAAGCAAAAAGTAATTGGCCCATTTTCGATACATCAGCATCATTGTGTACTTCATGTTCCAGGAATTATTTCTCGGTAACAGTTGATAACTAATGGCTAAAACGCAATTAGTATTCTTTTTTCTGCGGCTCTTTGGGCAATGAACCATCGTTCTGCGTGGTGCCCCACGAGCTACAACTGCATACCAATTAAAGCGTTGCTATGCAATATCGTATTGGTATACCCGAGGCAACGATTTTAGACCAGAATTGTGAATCGAATAATTTGCGCAGCATTCCAATAAAATGTTCATCATTGCCTCTTAACATGTACAGCAAGACTTCTTTGGTGAACACCGATTCTTGCTTAGTGGAACCTGACTTGTCATCGATAGTCTACATGTACAGTTGAACTAAAGTAATATTATTTCTGAACTGCCATAGTCATCTAACGAGCGCGCCTAATATATGAACGACTTTGGTTAATAATACTGAAATTTAAACATTTGTTTATTTCTGTGTTATGCCGCGTGATATGAATATGACATTCTCAGAGTGATTGTATTTTAACAACCCATCTGTTATTTTTCGACATTTTAGAAAGGTTAAAAACAGTCACGAGAAAGAATTATTAGAGTAAAGTGCAGATTGTATGTGTGATTGTTTGGTATTGTATACATTGTGAAATACAAGCTGAATCACTAAGTCAAGACGTAGAGAGAGGTTTTTCGTTTGAAACAATGCGAAATGTTAAACTCACCTTGATATTGCTCATAAACAATGGTTCCTAACCTGTCGCCATCATGAAATCTCACTGGACCCTGCAGTGGTGCGAATCGGAATAATAGGAATCAAAAACCCGGCATAAGAATATCAAGACAAAACTTGCTGAAGAATAGACGCAATGTATACTCACGGTTACACCAATAAAATCCGTCTCGTTCATAGCTTCCATGAATAAATCAAATATGACATCGCCACCAACATCATATGACGAATTTTCCTGAAGAAAAACATCCTCTCCTATTCGTGATATGACCCGATGTAATGCTAAAGCCATCACCCAGACGCCGTCATAGGCATAGCCATGTAGATTACTGAAATTCCCATTGCACGAGTCTACGTAACATCTCTCATATTCATAAGCAGTCTGAAAGTATCACATTGTAATCTATTTTAACCAGGTATGCCAAGGATGGTGTTTTGATAGTGTATTGGTCTGTGGACATTGGTGTCATGTAACGTTTCTATTCAACAATTTTAATACATATTCATGAGTCAAATACGAAAAACATGCACTTTTCTCGTATTTAAAATAATATCGAATGTCAAGATACTATCTCAGTTATATTCTCATTGGGTTCATGTCATCGGAATACCGAAAATGGGGAAACAAATTGGGGTCACAAGACTTTTTTTTGCGATACAACAGTCTGAAGTGTCATAGTTGATAATAATCTTTAGAAAACTCTGTGATATGGAATAAAAAAACAAAACAATCAACTATTACTTATATTGCAATGAGAAGTTCTCTTCCATAAAATCTTAATCCCATGTAGGTATACTGCATTGTTATATATAAATGTCTTGCTCCTGTTTTTGTAATGTTGCTCACATATCCTTGATACAAATAATAAACTACATACAAAATAGACAGAAATATTTAGCTCGTTTTGCTATAGGCACATACGTGTTTCAGATCTACCATCAGCTCATGTCACGATTTAACTTACCATGCCAGATATTGTACTTCGATTATGACTATCAATCGTGAGCATATCCGTTGCAAAATAACCCATTATAGCTTCCTGTAGTTCTTCCAATGTACAATCTTCGGGCAAGTCATTGTTATTCCACCAATTATCACTGTACCAACCAGGTATAATCCAAACATATCTACTACCAAACACTTTTTTCTTATATGCCTAATAATAATAATAATAATAATAATAATAATAATAATAATAATAATAATAATAATAATAATAATAACTTCTATTGACCAATGTTATGTGGAATCCGGTCAAACCCTGGTGGCAGCCATGTTGGTTTTTATTATTAGAGGACGATTACGCACGTAATCATTCCATATTTGGAATTCGCATTTCCTTATAATACCCCGTACAATACCGTAAACTACGGCACGCTGTAACTTATGGCGGTACGATGACAGATGTATAATAATATACATTAATGTTAGTCTTAATATAGGACTTCTATGGTTGTTTTACTATTCTTGATTAATTTTGTATCTGATATCCACCAACCAGCTCACGACATATAAAGAGAGAAATCAGACAGTCAGCCGATAAAAGGAACAGACGGATAGGCATAATTATAATTCACTTTGAAGCTAGATTGGTGGCGCTATAATATTTAGCTATATGTTCATTTTGTGAAACCTTATCTGCATTATAAAACGCGTTATAGATTTCTGTTGTTAGGTTCATCGTCAATTTAGATACATTGTTTGGTATGTTTTATTACGAACAGTTCATTAAACGAAACAACAACTTTTGGCAAAATCAATTACTACTTTGAGAAGAAGACTGACGCGTCTAATACAGAGTTGTCAATCAACGACAATCAAAGGATTTTAATAGTCACATTAAAAAGTTCAAGGAAATGGTGCCATTGTCTAGTCGGACAAACGAATGCTTTGTATTTAGAATTCAAAACAGTGATAATTCATGTGTTCCAACACGGAAGTGATCTATAAAGTAAACGTTGATCAACGAGACATATTAAATAGTGACAATTCATCGCGGCATGTTTGATGCATTTACAAAAATAACTTGTATCAATATATTCAAAAATTATGGGATATGCGTTTTGATAGCCACGAATCCAATAAAAGCGACATTTCGACTGAAAATAAACCTCAATAAAAAATAGAACAAAAAGTTTTTTTTCATAATTCATTTACTTTGAACATCGGATTGTGAAACAAGCAGCAACGTGATACTCAATTATACGGTTGAGATCCAATGCACGACTACTGTGAATTTATTAATGTGACATTTGGGGGCAATTGAAATATGTTCTTATTTCGATTAATCCAAACATACACACAAGATGAATAAAGTCGTCCTGGAAATGACCGATTGGTTTTTCAAATTTACAATCAGAAAATTTTATTTGGCGATACGACATTAATTCCACATGTTCACGATTTCGGCACTCACAAAGGATCAAAACAAGCGTATGGCGGATTGAATATATTTACTTACATGGCAGAATACTTCCCTAGCCATGTGCTCGTCAAAGAGGCCTAAAATAATCCTGGCACCTGAATCCTATAATAAGCACAGAAATAAGTAGAAACAGAATAAATTTCAATTCATAATAACATGCCTTAGGGTTTCCATCATTAAATGGTGGTCCTCATCTGTGTTGTATTGACGCCGTTCCACATCTACTACTGTCACATATGGTAAGCAACACTCACAATTCGATACACCTTTGTGTGCAAGCTGCTAATTGGGAAAAACATCGCAAATCGTGCAGTTTGTAATACGGTACGACCTTTAACAATCTCAACCAGAAATTAGGCATAATACAATGTCGGCTTGGACGTTTTACTGGATTACTGCCTGTGATATTTGACCATAATTCGTTTCTCTGTGCGCGGTGGCTCGTTGCCAAGGGAACGCGAGGGAGAACTATTGAGTCGTAACTATGAAACGAGTCCATGGCAAATTACACAAAGTAGAGTGACTTCAAGCAGAATTTCTTCAAATTGTAGGGTTCCCATGGTAACAATGTTTCGTTTTAAATATTTGAATTTCTGTTGATAAGGATTATTACCGGATGGGACCTGATCTTACGGCTGTGCATGGAATGTACTTAATATAGTACAGCATATAAATATGTTTCGGGAGAATGTACCCTCAGACAATTTTACGGGGCTTACCTTGATTGCTTGAACAGCAGATTCCGGGTCTGTCGAAAAACTTTGAACTAAGATGAGATGCTTTCTGACGTCTTCAAGACCCTTTGAAAGTTTATTATGTGCCTAAGTTATAAAATAGAGTCCACGCCCAGTAAGATATTAACAGATTGTTGCCAAATGTAATTTAATTACACGTTATTAAAATATTGGAAAGTGGGAATATACAAACTCACAACTGAAAACCGTGGCGTGTCTTGGTGTATGGTTGCTACGTGAGTCCAGTTGAAATATTCCAGTAACTTTAGTTTGGCAGGGTTGAAGTCAGCTTCAGAAGGAACGGTGCGGAAAAACGTAGGGTACTTCTCACGTTCTGATAAAAATGGTTCCATATTAGCATACGACAACTGGTAAATATGAAAGGAACATTATGTATTACATTTAAATTCAATATATTTTTAGTGTAAATATTACTTTGTTTTCACATCGAATTTTTCAGTCGAATTATTGTGAATCACATGGGTGGTGCACCGTATACCTTGTGTAAATATATTACCTTTGCTAACGTGTTTAAAAACAAATTTGAGAAAATGTAATTTAGGACAAAAAACGTTTCTCAGTTTGAAGCTTCTTTAACCATATTTGAAAACAAACATATTTAAATTACGTTTGAAGAGTAATAGAATGCGCATGTTGGAACGGAGTTGAAAACACGTTCCAATTTGGTGGGGAATTGTATATTATGCGGTATCATGGCAAACCTGAGTCAGATTCCACCAGATTACAGCTTCAGCAATAGGAGCAGTGACGTTTGAACAAATCCCTCCAAGGATCATCAGCTTCTTGGGACCACTAGCCATGGCTTCAAAAACGCTTGGGTACCCTCTGCCATCTCACACTAGAAAACACAGAAAAAAAATCAATACATATCGTAAATATAAATCTTTTTGACCGCGCATACAATCAATAAGTTTATCTAAGATGTATACGACACAGTTTGATGTGTTATAAGTGCCACTTCTATAACGTCGTAATGGATTTAGTTGCCGGGTGTATATATACGAGAGAAAGAGTTTCATTAAAAAGGCTATAGGCGTTCTATGCATTAAAACGTATCAGGGTCTTGCAAGGAAAAGATTGGGTTGATAAGATCTCTCATCGTGAATGAAAGTATACTCTACTTTGCACACGAAGTATCTTTTTTGCTGATTGAAAAAAAGTACAGCACGGTGACGCAAAAAGATTGATGTCGCTTGTATTAATCTACAGAACTAGGTCAGTATCTGAAGTCTATTTTATCTGTGTTCGTCAGGTTACAGTGTAGAACGAAAGTGATCATGGAATCGGGCAGCAGATTGGAAATCGTGATATAAATAAGAGAAATAGAGTGATGTCTCTGACGCATCCTATATATCGCTGTTTCGCTAATATCCAGACCTTTCCACTGAACACGATGAAGTAGAACTGTGAGATGCAATATTATCAAATGCATTTTTATTCTTACTGAATTTAATTCGGTATTGATACCAGCATTGCGCGCAGACTATCCCACAGCACTCATGGTTAAATGGACTAATTTTACGTTTACATAAATGTTCAAACCAAAATTTTAAAAAATCGGTGAAGATACGAGCCATAAGACTAAGTAGCGATGTCAGGTGTTCCAAAAATACTGCATATATGTTGCTCTATATAGTCTAATATGTGAAACCCGTCGATATATCAATCTGAGTCATATTGTCAAGAAACCTGTCTACTTAGTATTTTATAATCTGCACCAAAGCACGATCGTACGTCTTATAACTGTTGACGAGTGTCGAGTTTCCTGATTCCGGGCAAAGTACCCATCAGGTATAGTGGTCCATCCATCACGTATAAATAAATCATATATGTAAGGTACTATACCCTGAAATGTAGACAATGATCGGTAATTGAGAAGGAAATTTGCGGAGATGAACTAAAGCTTAAGCTTATACACTTAAAAACATGTTACAATTATAACACTCTGTAATATAAATAGGTTAAACCGTTTGTATACAAATATACACAGCTACATACATTATGCTAATTCATCTGCAGAGGCGGATCATTGGTTATTATCAACATCAATTCGCGCAAAAACGGTGTTACGGTTCCACTTAATTTAACTCACTGTTTAATGCTTTAAATTATAAATAATTAAATGCGTTAATTTTAACATATGGCTTGTGTCCCTGTTGGTTGAATACATTGAAACACGTCATCGGTACCCATCAGCAATCTGACCCAGTGTAGTATTGGCAGTGCGGTATTCGAAAAGATTGTTCGAGTGTGAAATGTTCTTTTTGAAGTCAACACAATAAAAGATGCCTGGCGATGAATAATGGCGTTTTGTTCCTTCGCCAATTTAATATATTCTACATACACAATTGTAATTGAAACTTATCTAAAAATGAATTGTTAAACACTGACTGCAATCTTTAAAATTTCGCCCAGTCGATGGGTTTTAGAGTATTGTTTTTCCTGTGCATATAATTACAGACAAACCAACGTTCGCAGAACCTCACGCAATGCGAGATACGAACTCGTGCACACGACGTAGCGCATCGCCACTTCAGACGAATTGCGCATTCAAATAGAATCATATTATATCGCGTGGCCATTAGTGTAAGATGTCTGCTGTGTTAGTTTCACTCACTATATATATATACTCTTGGTAGAACATCCTGTAAAATTACAACTTTCCCATTATCTGCGGTATTAAAAATGAGAGTTGTAACATATATAACCCGACTCTCGCAGTGACGCGGTATTTGTGCGAGAAATGTTTTCCAAGGTGTAAATTGGTTTCTATTACATCAGACATGGATATATATGTTATTTATTTGAAAGAATGCATAATACATATATGGTATTTATATATGTATCGTTAGTTATTTATAGACGCCTATGTACGTGCGAGTCGTTTATTTGTAGTTGGTGTGAGTTTTTTCTTATATGAACGATGACTGTATGTAATTTTTCACATACGTCTGAGCGTGTTCATGTTTCGGAAAAGAGGCGAGTGCAGTGACGCGGACTACCATGATATTAATGACACATTGTACATAGTAGCTGTGCGTGTCGAGTGAAAACGAATGATTGCTTTTCATCAAAGGTCGAATTCAACGTCATGTGTAGCTTCGTTCGACTTGACCTTGCCACGTCTACTGTTAGATTTGCTGTCTCTGATTTTTCACTATGCTTAACTACATACATAGCAAAACGCATTGTGACATTGATTAACAACTATATCACAGAGATGAGCTTTGAAAGTGTTTATTGCCGTGAATGAATATGTTACAACATCAAATATCTCTTGCAGAGAATCATTTACTATTGAAGCCACTACTGTATACACAGTGACTATCTCACCCCGCCTCAGAAACGAAGAAATGTACTTATAGAGCTTCTGTAACGCTATAAAACTATCCCTTGACAACGTGTTTTAATTACATTTCGAATATAAGCCTCTTTGTAGAAAGCACTCGAGGAGTTTACAGACTCCTGACATTTATGAGCCAGTGTGAGTTTAAAGTGGTGATGCTGACAACTCGAATTTGAAACGTCAATCTGCTGGTAAATCAATTTTAAAGTGTTACTGTTGATGAACTCCAGTGAGTATACGTTATTAATCAGTTACATTAACCTTAGCATAGTCGGAGAAAATAATATATAAATTATTGTCAAATTACATGATTGTAACATGTACTGCGCTATAACATTGAAAGACACTCTAGCAACGGTTGCCATATTGGATAAGCCATAAGACTGATATTCAATTACGTAACAATGTATACTCTATGCAGCAACAATTTAATTCTCTTGCGTATTTCACTGACTTATTTTAGCCCTGATTAGTATATATTTAGAAACGGCACGCAAGGTAGCGGATATAAGACCTCTCTGGGTGAAATTAGCATATTTGTCGGGAGATAATAACCGAGCGTACTATTATTGTAAGGGGTGACGAAGAGCCACGTTTTTTTAATTTGGAAACATAATACCCATATTTTCACTGTTATAACTATTATTGTTATATAATGATTTTTACGTAGATTTATGGTTTTATTTGTGTAAACTGGCATTATGCTTCATTTTGAGGGGTTAGAATTTACCAGCCATGTAGTGCGCGTTTTAGATTTTGTATTCAAATTGAAGGGCTAAACCGCACTCCATAAAGCATACACATAGATGGACGAGGCGAATGACAGAATCAACAACAATTCTAGTATATTTCAACAAACTAGTGGTAATACCAACCATAAACTATTTCCGCACATACACGAAGCAAATAAAGAAAAACATAACAATTTTTGAGTTGTAAATCTTTAAATTTACGTCGATTTACTAAACAGACGACAGGTCCGGCGTGTGACAGGGACGGACGCGTCGATGAGGTCACATATCCGATTTGAATGCTATGCTGGCATCAACTTCACGAGGAGTTTTCTTAGTACAAATATACTATTTATGGCGAACAGTAGTAGTCTCCGATCGGTACAAAGCTATATATACATAAAAACATTTTGAATGCAAGCGCATTTGTTTTAATAGCAATTTAGAGGGTCTGCTAGCGACCATTTTAGTGCTAGAAATGCACCGAAAAAAGATTTCTACGATTCTAAAAACTGAAATTTGCGTGTATGGACGAGATTCATTCAACTTCGTTTATAGAATATCATGTGAATTGAATGCCGACTAGCCACTATTTTGTTGCATGAATGCTCTACCTAAGCCATATTTCTGACATGCCCGAATTAACAATTACATTCAAGCTTTATACATATAAAACACAGCTGAATATGTGACTTAATTTCAATGTCGTTTACTATTTCATGACGGCGACTGCTTGATGTTTGCGTTATATCATCAACCTGATGTATAATGTCACTACAAAGTATGATATTAACAAGAATATCATTCTTTTCAACAATAACGAAACATAACCCCTGGAGTCATTACATAATCGGTGTTCTTGGTAATTCCTTATTTCGTAAAAAATGTAGTTTTCAATTGCCTGTGCTTTCCTCCAACGATCATTTCATCGTGTAAAATCGCGTTTCATGATTAAAAAATACATACACTATTCTCGACGTTGATGAATAGTGCAGCACGTCCTTGAAACAAAAGCTTCATTTGAGCAGATCGAAACTAGAATACATCATTATAACTAGACAATAACCATTTATAGTGTACTCTTGAGCATGTATTAAGCATTTATGTCGCCATTTAGTCCCAGATGACTGAATTGCTTTTCATACTGTATACATTTTCTCGAAGACCATCATAATCACCAAAATCTAACTTGATCGCATGCACAATTGCTAGTGATTGATTATATTTGACCCCCAATAAAACATAACATATGAGATTGAACAAATATCGCCGTAAAAACCGTACGATAAAAACTATTGATTCAACCGCACTATTATTACTTTTGTTCCCTGTGGCGAAACGTGTTTCATTTTCAATTTGACTATTATAAAAGACAATATTAAACATCAAATGCATTCAAGTGCAGACAATTCGTCACTCTGGTGTAAAAAAAACACTGAATAGAGTGTATGGATTTGCACACTTCGTAAGAATCGATGCACATAACGCGATGATTAACATATTCACGATATTTGTCAGATTTCCGACCGTTCTAATTACAATATTACAATTATATTATTTCTAAAGCTGTTACAGAATATTTAGAATTTGTATTAAACAAATGGCGAAGACACGGCACGAATATCTAGTTCATATATGTAACATTCAAAAATTATTCATCCACTTTTATACGTTATGGAGTGACATACAGTATAATTTCTTAATAATCATTTCTTTACGAAAA